AATAAAGTATGTTATTATCATCTATATAACCATTGTAATTTCAGGTAGTCTGCAGCTGATGAGAACCTGTGAAATAGAATGATATAATTTTACACTACCGCAAATTTCGTCTTACTTTCTTTATCGAAATATAATTTTATTCCTTTGTGTTCCCTAGTGGGACATAGGGCTTCAAGCTGGAGCACTAAAGTTTGAGTGGCAGTGGTGTTTATTTTTACAGGATGCCATTGGTAGTCTCACGTCCAACCTTCTCTTTTTTCTGGGGCTCATTACCAACTAATCGAAATTCGGGAATGTGTCGGTTGGGAATCGAACGCAGACCACGTGTGGCGTGGTTGGTGAGCGTTCTACCACCTAGTGTGTGGGCAGTTGTTACTTCCGGCTGCCTACACTGTAGAAGTTGATTGATTCTTCGAGTACCTGAAACAGAGAGAGGGTTAGTGTTGTGTGACCCCAGAGCCCAGGGGACAACTACTTGATGCCGGTCACACACGGCCTGTATGAACTGGTTTCTTGGTTTGGTTCCGTATTAGTAAACTTACTACCGGTTACGGACCACCATAGGGTAAGTTGGGATGTACAATTTTCGGGGTCGACCTTTACTAACCCCTTCTCTCTGGAGTGGAGAGACAGCATAGCTGGCTGGCATGCTGGTCATCTGAGAGAAACACCTCACTGCTGTTACATCCCTGTTCCCCAGCAGTACGACTTCGCCCTCAGACCCCCAGCACAGTGTAAGAGAGATTCTTACACAATGCCGCTAACTGCTTTTAGTCTAATCGCTATCCTAACAATCTTCCTGGCATGGTAGGACCTGCAGGAACATTGGTTCCAGCCAGTGCAGCTTGTTGGGTCATCACGATGTGCAAGCCCGACCACCACCTCAAGGTAGCAGCTATTGGTAGGGGTTCTACCACCTCACCAAAGGCACACTGTTATATATAAGCGAAAACTTGATTAATTTCGCATATAATTTTTTCACAAAACTCGTAACAGCCGGAGAACCATTGGAAATTGAAGAGTACTGAATAGACGTTTTATTCCCTCTTTCACATTATGAAAACTGGCGGTGCTGCGGGGGAGTGCTCATTTCCAAAATGCCCCCATTAGAACAGAAAACTGTCTAGTGTACTTCTCCGTTTTCAATAGTTCTTTAACTGATAACGCGAGACGACGAAGTGCATTACATAAATTCTAACGCTAAATAATTGTGAAATATTTCATTTTGAATTTGAATTTTCTTTAAAAAGAAAAAAGAAAAGTAATTCTATACAAAAACATCATGCTGAGCTGAGAATTCATTTTTAAACCGCCTTATATTTTTTAAATTGTTTTATAAATGAAGAACACGTCACTACTCAGCAGTATAATTGCAAAAAAGAAGCATCAATCTTACTGGCAGACAGATGCAGGTGCGGCATGATGTAACCTCTTTCTTGTAGTGATATCTAATCGTACTACTCACATAGTAGTCACATGCTATTTTAACTCAAAATATGTTTAGGGTGTCATTTCACAGCATGATCTACAACATACAACTGTTCAGCGTTGAACACACATTTACTGAAGCTGAATAGGTGATGCATAAAGCAAACAGATAGATAGATAGGTGGATTGATTGATAGAGAGATACAATTGAAATTACTAGATCCAGACAGCGTCAGCTGGGAACTTCCTATCCTGCAGAATACGGCAAACTATATATATATATATATATATATATATATATATATATAACTAAGAAAACCACAGTTTAGATCATACTGAAGCGCTATAACTCATTGTCTAAGAAAGCATAGAATAGAAGTCAACTCTCTACCTCGATTTCATAGACTTTCGACAGGCCTTAGATAGCTGCGCATGTTATGCAGGCGACTCACTCCTCTCAAATGTAAGATGATGCTACAGGACTAGACTACATCGAATAACTACTAGCTTAAAGATAGGGAGTGTTGTGGTAGAGCACGTCGACCACTTCACTTATTTGGGAAGTTGCATCAGCCAGTGCCAACGGGTTGATCGCTGACGAAATCTCAGCAAAGGATACAGAAGGTCATTTAACATATACGAAATTACGCCATATTTGGGTTAGTAGATGTGATATCCGACTGGCTGCCAAACAAATGACGTGTATACTACTCAACAGTTCGCTGCGTCATCCTTTATGGTTGTGAAACATGCCAATTAAAAGTGGAAGACATGAAAAGCCTGGCTAGCTGTCTTCAATTATAAGTGTCTGTGTTTTACTTCCCGTGTTAGGTGGCATAATAGGGTGAGCAATATTGAGGTTTGGCGTCAATCGAGTGTTAGGTAGGGAGGGAGGGGAAATCAGTCGACAAGGTTGTTTAGTTACATCGAATGAGAGGGTTGGGACATTCGTTACGCATGCATCCCTAACCATCGCCCTCCTCGACGGGCAGGACAATGTTAGCTGACATAGGATCGATGGGGCTGGAAAAGAGTTAGTGGTGGTCAAACAAAACATGGCTTCATCAGTCAACGAAATCCATAACAGTTACTTTAAGCCAGCCAGCCACGTAGGGAGGTGTAGACTGGCTGTCCGGCTGCCTGGTTGAGGTCCTCGAGATGGTAAGAACCAATCAAGGCTGGAGAAAATCGGTGATGTGGCTGAAAATCGTTCTCAATGGCTGGCGGAGATGCATTCACTCTCTGAAACTTTTCATATCCAATGAAGCTTTATCGTTCTTCAATATTACTATTGTTTTGCCTTGCTCACACTTCTGTTTATTATCTCTATTTACTCTCTTCTTTGTGTGTTACAAGGAGGGAGTGTAGCGACTCGAACTGCTGCACATCTGTACAAAGGTCTACGTTGAAACCAGTCAGTCAATCAGTCTTCGATAGCTCCAACTGTGAAGTAAACTGGGAAGTAATTCAAATCTGAGGAATGCACCAGACATCATTTAACAGCTATATACTAAGTGATGCAGAACGGAAACTTCAGAAAAGTCTTTAAGGGGAAAACAGTAGTAAAACAAGGCTGAGTTATGTCTAATTTCATACAAACTCAAAGATTTATCAGCGAAGAGGCAGTCAAGATACGACTTCAAGTGAACATAGCGAAGACAGAAGTGATGAAGACAATTAATCAACCAACCAACAACAACAAGCATGAATCCCTACCAACGCAACACATCTGAAAGAGGTTACTTAATTCACTTATGTGGGTGACATCATTTCAACTATAGGTGGTGCTGTTGGAGATGTCAGAGCAGGCCAGAATCGGAAAGTTAGTACAGAACTACGTCACTCTGAAATCAGTTTTGTAATCTTCTGCCCTAATCATCAAGAACAAGACTCGGATTTTCAACAGCAATGTTAAGTCACTCCTTCTATCTGATTTAGAAACTTGGCCATGAGGGGTCACGAAAAGCATTTACAACGTCAACTTGCAGACTTTTATCAACAGGAAGAATAAACAACTAGGAATTATTGATAAAAGTATAAAACTTGGGCAGTGTGGTAGAGTATAACGCCATTATAGATAAGACTTTACTTTGATAAATCACGCAGTGTTGTTATACAGTAATATTAACTGATGACGCCCACGTTTCAAGCACAAACTATGGCTGCTCGTAATCATATCAAGTCACTCACTCACACAACTTTCTTTACTTCATTTATATACATGAGTGCAATTGATGATTAGACATCTGAATAAAAATCAACCAATATAGGATAATGTACATTCAGAAACAATAATAATATGAGTGTTATTGATCAAATACAATCAGATGGGAAATAAGACGAGTGTTTTTATAGTCAAAATAAATAAGTAACTTGTTAGAATGTTATGATGTACGTGAATTGAAATAGAATATTATGATTATTTGACCGGTGGTAATAATATCTTCCATATTTCTGGTATTTGCATTGAGTCATTTCTGTTGCATGTATTGGGTGTAGACTCAATGAACAAGGATTCCGTAATCTGTAAGTTAAAGGACCCCATTGACCCAATTAAACAAAATAATATAATTTACAAAATACTCTGCAATGACTGTGAAGTCAATTACATAGGTCAAACTAGTAGGTCAGGGGTAGTCAGATTATCAGAACATAAGAATTTAGCTAAGGGTAAAATGGTTGACCCCGCGAAGATAAGTAATTTAGAAAAAAGCTCAGCAATTGCCCTTCACGCATTAAAAAACAACCACACAATAGGGTGGGATAGGGTTAAAATTCTAAAGAGTAACATAGGTAGGTGGAGAGAGAGGTTGATTACGGAATCTTTGTTCATTGAGTCTACACCCAATACATGCAACAGAAATGACTCAATGCAAATACCAGAAATATGGAAGATATTATTACCACCGGTCAAATCAGAAGAGAATAATAAATAATCATAATATTCTATTTCAATTCAAACACATCACAACATTCTAACAAGTAACTTATTATGACTATAGAAACACTCGTCCTGTTTCCCATCTAATTGTAATTGATCAATAACACTCGTATTATAATTTCTTAATGTGCATTATCTCATAGTCATTTTTATTCCAATATCTAATCGATTCCACACATGTATATAAATGAAGGAAAAAATTGTGTGAGTAACTTAATATAATTATGAGTGGTAATAGTTTGTGCTCGAAACGTTGCCATCAGTTAATATTACTGTATAACAACACTGTGTGATTTATCAAAATAAAATCTCATCTATAGTGAAGCAACTCTACAGTGGAACGAACCAAACAAAAAGACATGCCTAAAAAATATGTAGAAGAAAGTGGAGATGGATTCGAGATACACTGAAAAGCCCATTAAGTGAGACCAAGCGCCAGGCCCTCGAGTGGAACCTAAATGCAAAATAACAAGCTGAGCATGAATCCGAGGGAGGAGACCATGTAGGGATGAAATGAGAGGTTATGGGGAATTGTGGAGTGAAGTGGTGTCGTTCGACTCGGAACCCAAAATATAACAATGATAATAATAATAATAATAATTAATGGCACAGGTTTAAAGAAGTGACTTACTAAGGTATTATTATTATCACTATCTAATGTTTCATTTAAACAATTCCAATTTTGAAAAATATTTACAGATCCTTGTATCATTTCACAGGTAGTCACCGGTTGATCATGCGAATAATTATGATCAATTGGTGTTGTATTCAGATCACAGTTGGCAGCATATTCATCAGCTAATACAAATCCGGATGATCGACGAATATGTGAGATTCTTGATGTGAATAAATTAATAAATAATTTTACCCTTTCTTTCATATTCTTACGTAATTTGTTAAATTCAATTGGTGTCGCTGACGCCGTCGTTGTTGTTGTCGTCGTTAATAATGATGCTGATGATGCCGACGGTATTGTAGACAGCTTTTTTGTATAGCATATTTGAAAGGTGTAAACTTCAAAATCAGTAGTCAGTATTAGTAGACGTGTTGGCAGGTGAGGAAGTCTTTTACTTTCAAATAACCAATGTTTTGTAAAATTTAAATTTTTCAATCCATCAATTGTACGTATCCATGAATTTAGAATTGGATCAAATTTATAGACACGATCACGTCGATCCTGTATGATTAAACAGTCAATTTTACCTAAACCGATAGATCCTGGCCGACGAAATGCCCATTGACGATAGAAGTATGGTTCTGTACGACTAAGAGTTTGTGTTAACAATTGACTGTGTAAAAAAAACAGAAACAAGAAAAAAAAAACAAGAAGATATATTAACTTCAATAAGTATTTTAAGTTTTGAATAAAGAAACAAACAGGTGAAGGACATGGAAATCTAATCGATATTCATGAGTAATAGGGAAAAGTATGACTGTCTTTCACTACAGATCTTTGAGTTTTATATCCTGTAATAAGTGGCCACTTCACTTATTTGGGAAGTTGCATCAGCTAGTGCCAACAGGTTTATTGCTGACGAAACCTCAGCAAAGGATACAAAAGGCTCATTTAGTATATGCGAAATTACGCCATATCTGGGTTAGTAGACGTGATCTCCGATTGGCTGTCAAACAAATGACATGTATACTGCTCAACAGTTCGCTGTGTTATCCTTTATGGTTATCAGTGAGACATGGCCATTGAAAGTGGAAGACATGAAAAGCCTGGCTAGCTGTCTTCAATTATAGGTGTCTGTGTTTTACTTCCCGTGTTAGGTGGCATAATAGGGTGAGCAATATTGAGGTTAGGCGTCAATTGAGTGTTAGGTAATGAGGGAGGGGTCGCCAATCAACGAGGTTGTTTAGTCACATCCATTGAGATGGTTAGGACATGTGTTGCGCATGCATTCCTAGTTATCGCCTTCCTCGACGGGCAGGGAAATGTTAGCTGACATAGGATTGATGAAGTTAGAAAAGAGCTGGTGGCGGTCAAACCAAAACATGGCTTCATCAGTCAATGAAATTCACAACAGTTAGTTTAAACCAGCCAGCCAAGTAGGGAGGTGTGGAGTGCTTTCTGGTTGGGGTTCTCGAGACGGTAAGAACCAATCAAGGCTGGAGACAATCGGTGATATGGTTGAAAATCGTTCTCAATGGCTGGCGCAGATGAATCCACTCTTTGTGATTTGCCATATTCAATGAAACTCTGTTGTTCTTCAATATTACTATTCTTTTCGCATCACTCACACTTCTGTTTATTATCTGTATTTTGAATGTCTCTTTACTCTCTTCTCTTGCTTTGTGTGCTATAAAGAAGGAGTGTGGCAACTCGTAATGCTGCACATCTGTGCAAAGTTCTATGTTGAATCCAGCCAGTCAGGCAGGCATACTAGGGTGAATAATATTGAGGTTAGGCGTACAGTGTGTGTTAGGTAGGGAGAGAAATTCAATTGATGAGATTGTGAAGTAGCATAAATTGACACGGCTAATACACATGTTACCCATGGCTAGCTATTCTTTGTAGTTTACCATATCTTTTTAAATCCGCATGTTCTGCCATGCTGGTATTCTTCTTCCCGTATATTTCAACTCGTTATAGCTTGTTTGAATTGATTTCCTCTCTTTTCTATATTTTTGTGTGTTATATGCTATGTGGCTAGTTGAATTGGTGAACTTCAGTGCAAGGTTCCGTGCTGAAACTTAATCAGGCTATCTGAATGGCTTTGATATTTCATTTGTTTATTGGTCAAATACAATATGAGGCATTAGAATGCAGCAGAACTTCTTTCAGTGTCTACTGGTAGAAAAGAGAGATTATCATTGTATCTGTTATAGAGATTTTCACTTAGTTAAAAGTCAAGAAATTTTTCTTAATATTATTATTATATTATTGTTTCCTTGGGTTCCGAGTGAAACATACCGCTTCAACGACATATCTTCGCCTTCTATTTTCCGCCATCCTCTTCTTCTGGGTCCACGATTGCCAAAAACCTCTCATCTCTTCCTCACACGATTTCCTCCATGTCAACCTAGCACTGACGACCCACTCGTCGCTTTCCATCCGGATTCCACTCGAGCAACGACCTGCGTTACGCGCGATGTCATTCGACGGTCTCGTCCTCAAGGTAGGCCTTATCCATCTCCGTTTTCTCCTACATATTTGTTAAGCGATCAGCTCTTCGTTGGTTTGTTCCACTGCAGAGTTTCTTGTTGCTAATTCTTTCTGGCTGACTGACTGGCCATTTGATCTTCAGTATGGAGCCAGCCAGCGAAGGTGGCAGCTGTTGATGAAAGTCTGCAACAAGCTGTTGAAAATCCTTTTCGTAACACGCTGGCCAAGTTTCCGGCCTATGTAGAAGGACCAACTTGACATTGGTGTTGAAAATCCGAATCTTGTTCTTTAATTCTGAGTGCAGATTTCCAAATTGGTTTCAGGTTGATGAAGGCGTATCTTGCCTTTCCGATTCTGACTGGATTTGACATCTTCATACGTTCTTATCTTTGCCTAATACTGACTGAATTTCCATAAAAAAAGCTTTTTACTGAAATGCACCAGCTCAATTTGACACACTCCATGTAGCACACAAAAGTAGAGAAGAGAGGAAGAGGAAAGAATAGTAACATGGAAGAACAAAGAGAGGTTGGTAACAGAATGTTTATTCGCAATTTGATATACATATAAATAGAGGAATTATGTATACCATATGTATATATTAAAATCGTCATTCGCACAGATCTTCCGTTTTGTGCGCTACTTCTGCTCTTCGTGTTGTGTTTCTTTGTCTTCTTTTCGTGTCTTCCATGTTTCGCCACAGTACTGGTTCATCATTTCCTCTCTTTGACGTCAAATCTATTTCTCCACTATTTGATATTTTTCTACCGATGAATGTCTTTTTGTATACTACTGATAAATCCTGTCAGTAGCACACGCCGCAGGTAGGACTATGAATAACACTGGGAGTTTTATGTATGAAGCGAAAATTTTCATTTAAACATGATTAAGTAAAGAACATTAATCTCAACAGTTAAAAATAATGATGGCCAAGTTAAGGAAAACGTCTTAACTAATTAGTTATGAACACATGAGTTAGGCTTCTTCAGTTGGGTTCTTACAACTTCAGCTGCATGTAAAAGACGAACTCGTAAGGCCCAATTATGATTAGTCGGAATACAGTAGATAACTTTAAGTGGCTTATTAACATCAGCCAATTTATGTTCAGGTGAGCTAAAACAGACCTACGAACACACCTTGTTCGCCACATTGCTTAACCTAACTTTATCACACACAGTGATGCTGCCTTGGGAGGGGGTTCCCATGATCATGGAAGCATGAATCTTCTCAAGCCCATAGATACAATCTTTTTGGCTACCATTCAAAAGCATTATTGGGTTTTATTGTTATTCACTCAGTTCCTTTTTTTAAATGATTTGTCAAAAGAATGGACACGGAACAAAGAGTACTCTTTTCGATAACTTCATCATCAGGCTCTACAATTATATATACATTATAGTGAATGAATGAATTAGTGTTATGAACAACATTACTGTTGTTTAAATAACATCGAATCAATAATAATATTAATAGATTACAGTTCTAAAGCATCAACATAAAATAAGCTGAATGTCAGAAAAATTAGGAATTTATAGTCTCTACTGAAGGCCAGGGCAGTAGTAGGGGCTGGATTTGCTTCTTTTGAACACAGAGCACTGGTTGTTTGAGGCGAATTGCAATAGCCTCTGCTGTTTGGAGTATGCGGTGCTTCGAAGATGATTTTGGCAATTCACTAGGCACCCGGTAGATTATAGAGAAGGATTCATCTACGCTGGCTGGCTTTGTGGCCGGTTTGCACCAGATGGTCCAATATCGAACTGTTAGTGGTTTTCACTACACCTTTACTTAGCCATAGTGGGAGATGTTCTCGAGCACGAAAAATCAAGTTCCTAGAGCAACGGCCAATATAACTCACTCCACAAGCTCAGTTGAATTGGTAGATACAATTTGAAGTGGCTAGTCTAGGTACTTCATCTTTCAGTCGAGGTAGCACCATCGGTGGTGTATAGAATAAGACGTGAAGTTGGCCAGCATTAAAAGTTCTTTGAATTGATTTTCTTCATAATTATCTCACTTGGTATATGAATTGTAGTCGTATATAAAGTGGCTTCTTGTGTACAGATAGTGAGTAGTCCTTTTTCGTTTTCTTTGTCTTGTGTTTCCTGATAAATTTTTCGGGATAGCTATGTTCGAACAAAGTATCACATACAATGCTTAATTCATCTTCAATTACTTCTTCTGAGCACACAGCTCTAACTCTGTGGCTGAGGGTCTTCACTAAATTTCTTTTGTCCTTGATAGGAACGAAGCTGTGAAAATGTATATATTGTCCTGTCCAAGTACTTTTTCTATGTAAATTTCCTTTTATGCCAGCATCTGGTTTACTTGTAAGGAGGACATCCATGAAGGCAATTCTGTCTTGGGATTCCTCTTTGCATTTGAATTTCATAGCCGAATGTACCTCATTGAATTCAGTAATTATTGTACTCCTACCAGAACCATTATTACAAAGAATGAAGGTATCCTCAATATATCGGCAATAAAATGAGAGCTTACTGATAAGGTTGTTCAAAGGTCCATTTTCTAGCTTACTTAGAAAGAAATCTACCGGGTGCCAAATAAATTGCCAAAAACATCGAAGTACCTCATGCTCCAAACAGCAGAGGCTATTGCAATTCGCCTCAAACAACCAGTGCTCTGCGTTCAAAAGAGGCAGGTCCAGCTAGCCACTACTACTGACCTGGCCTTCAGTAGCGACTATAAATTCATGGAGTTGTAATATTATCTTTCCTAATTCTTCTGACATTCAGCTTATTTTATTTTGATGCTATTGAGCTGTAATCTATCGATCTATCTATTGGTTCGATGTTATTTAAACAACATTAATGTTGTTCATAACACTAATTCATTCATTCACTATAATGTGTATATAACTGTAGAGCCTGATGATGATGAAGTTATAGAAAAGAGTACTCTTTGTTCAGTATCCATTCTTTTTAAAAATTTCAATGGGCATTTTTAATCAGTTAAAATGATTTGTTACAAAATCAGTTTATGTGGCATAATGGCTACATTCATTGCTTGGACGATGAATTTCTCAGTCAATGACTGGGAAGACGTGCCTCTTGCTACCATCCATCAATCAATTTATGCAGTAATCTTTAAAATGAGCCATTTTGAATTGTTGATATATATAGTCACATGATGTCTGCCTTGTTTTGCCAGTCTGATATATTTTGC